TAATTTATAGGGGGTCATCTTCAACATGTAAAAAATATATTATAGAAAAAAATAATTGTGATCATGTTTTTCATGTTTTAATAAATAAAGGAAATTAATACTCTGTAAAATTGAAGAAGAATACAAAAGAAAAAGAAGAAGGAAAATAAGGAAGAATTGCAATAGAAATTGATCGAAGGGAAAGCAGGGAAAGTCGATCGGTGGAAGCGTTTTGCTCTGTGATAATAACATACGAATCATGATTTCAAAAAGTAATTAAGAAGCTAGATAAGATAAACAACAACAATTGGCCGGGGAAGGAATTAGTGCGTTGGAGGATGGCAAAAAAAAAGAAAGCCGTGAAGGAGAAGAACAGCAGCCGGCTAAAGAAGCCGGCTAAAGAAGAACAGAAACGATACCGTTCTGGGTACCGGTATACCATGAACATGGTATACCGGTCGTACGGTATAATTTGCGCTTTTTAGGTGATATCTCAAAAAAAAGTGATAGTTTCTACTTAAATTAAGCATTTAAAAGCTAAAACTGTAAAGTAGATGAAAGGATGTTTTGAACTTTTTTTTCCTACTTTTCCTATTATACAAAATCACTTAGGCTTTATTTGCAATCACTTCTGCTTAAATAAAAGCACTTTTGGGAAAAAAGTGATTAGTAGTAAAAGTTGATAGTGTTTGGTAAAATAAGTGCTTTTTGTGTAATAGAAAAAGTAAAAAGTAGATTCTACACGGAAACCGAGAAAGTAAAAGTTGGTAGTGTTTGGTAAAATAAACGCTTTTTTCTTTAAAAAAAGTTAAAAACACTTATTTTACCAAACGATGTCAACTTTAACTTTTTTAGAAGCATTTTTTCTCAAAATTATCAACTTTTACTACTAAACATTTTCTCCAAACATGAAGCAACTACAATATTCACCAACATGCTTTGTTGGTGAATGATATTTACATACTAAAAAAATCTTGCCATAGAGTTGTGTATAAGAAAGTGAATACAAACAATTTTTTTCTTCTCCAAAATCACTTTAAAAATTACTTCTTCAAAATGGAAGCAAATACAAATACTCCCCAAGGATAACACAACTTTAATACCTAAAAGCTCCTTACCATTATTCATCATTACGGAGTATAAATTTACATTACACGTATAGATTTTGTTATACTAAAAGCTCCTTAATCCCTACTTTCATGCGTTATTATATACTACGTATTTTATACTCCCTCCGTCCCAGAAAATTCTTCCAACTTTGAGTTGGATCGCATATTTAGGTAGTGGAATAAAGTAGAAATGTATGGTTGTAGTTGTGTAAAAAAAAAGGTGAAATGAATGTGAGCCACACAAATAATCAAAAAGGTGAAGTTGGAAGAATTTTCTGGGACGTCCCAAAAAGGAAAGTTGGAAGAATTTTCTGGGACGGAGGGAGTACTACGGTATAATAATTTTATTTTGTATAAAGATAAAGATTGACAAATTCGACCATGATTGATCAAGTTTGTCAATATTTGACTCGATCGACCTTGGTTCACTTACAATAAGACAACCATCCATTCTTCATATTTCATTTTCTTGAGCTCCTATTTTTCATTAAACCCCTTATCCTGGAAGTTTTTTTACTAAGGTTGACCAAGATTTCCTGTGCTTGACCAAAATTGATCACATGTTACCCAGATAGACCATAATCGATCAAGTTTGTTGAGGTTTCATACAAGAGAGTTGTTTGTACATAATCTTGTCTGCTTCAAATGAAAGTTAGAGTCATTTTTTTTAGTAAATTTCTCATGTGAGATTTTTGTACTATGGTCAATCAAGATTTACCATGGTTGACCAATTTGGTTTTTACAAGTTAACTTTGGTTGACGTTTAACATATGTTTGAACTTTCCATGAGTTTAGTTTTGTTCACCCCTCAAAAGAGGGTGAACGTCACCCCACCCTACATGGGCGTCATGTGACAAGGCAATATATTATAATTTGACAATTGTTTTATTTTTTTCACTTTTTATTCAATTTAAAAAAAATCAATTTTATTTAGAAAAATTTATTTATTTATTCAATTTTTATATACAATATTGATACCATTTGAAAGACTAGTATGGAACTCGTGCGGTGCACGGGCGAAGATTTTTTCATTTAGATTTATTTGTGCTCACTTTTCCATCATTTGCAATGGAGCCAAATATTCATTATTTTTTTGGCTTGAGAATATAATGGAATCAAGCAAAATGGCTCACTAAACAGTCTGCGCTTCTTTCATATGAAGCAGCAGTCAGTCCATGCAATTTTGGATGCGATTTTCACTATGCGATTATCAATGCAATTTGTTATAGCTCAAAGCAATGAACGAAACACACTCATGGTATTATGGTAAAAAATAGAGAACTAAGCATTACTTAAAAGATCAAAAACATCCAACAAATATGTAGAAACCATAACATTGTAAATATTCATTTCATATAACCTTAAACATTGTTGAACACTTCTTTGAAGTTTGAATACAACATTCTGAGTCTTGTGAGTGGTTCCTTCATATTCATAAAAAATTGGAACTTTCAAACCACAACGATGGTCACCCTTGATACTGCAATATACAACTGTTTGTAGGTAAATATTTTTTTTCAACAACAACCCAACACAGGACAAAGATTTACATTGACTTTTATTTACAATCATAGCATATGAAGTCATAACTTGATATTGCCGCCTCTGAAATTTGAAAAGTAAGCTGGCATCAGATGTGGTCAAGGACAGTCTAGGAATTAATATTTTTTGTCCACCACTCACACTTCTTAAAACTTCCCATCCTAAACATGATCATCGAGCCTCGTTAGAATAAGCCAAGTCCCGTTACACAACCAATTGAATGATCAATATTTCGCAAAAGCATCACTAGAGTCCCTACCTTTAATTTAACGTTAACTCAAGATTCACTACATCAGATAATTTTATATTGTATTCAAGAATGACAGCCACTAAACTGTCATGTCTTGATTTTATTATATACTAATGAATTATTAAAAATATTTTTGTGTGAGCGCCAACCTCAAACCACACTGCACCAAAAAAGTTAGATAAACAATAAGATTCACCATGACATTAAATGCAATGCTCACCCAAATAATCTCAGATCAATATGTGGTCCAGAATAATGGTATGAAAGGTTTAGTGGGACAATCTTTTAACAACCGGGGTTTTTGAATAAACAATTATTTTTTAGTAGAAAATATAACTTTGTTTTCTTTAAATGAGAAAGCCAAAAATATGTAATTTCTTGAAATTTTCAAATAGTGTGTAGTAATACTTTTCTAATTTTATTTTATGCATTGGAGGCGTAAGTCACCTAGCAGGAAGAGAGTGTCACAAAAGAGATGTTTCGGATGAACCTCATTCTTTTTTATTCGCGTGTTATTAAAGTTCAATTTATATCATCTTTTTTCAAATAGTGTCCGATCGATTTCTAGGTAATGAGATGTCATCTTTTTTTTTTAAATTTATTTCATGTTAAAATTTTATGTTTACTAAATAAAACCTTAGATTGAGGACTGGAATAAGATGTAATAATTTTGATTCCTATCTGTATAGGCTATTCGTATTCACTCAGGTATTCCCCTAATTATAATACGGAGTACTAAATTATTAATACCAAATTTATATAGCACATCCATGTTAGACTCAAAGTAAATCAAGCCTATATGATGCGGCCCAAATGACGACGCAACATATTACTCCGTATACAACTTGGTAGATTCACCTAGAAGCCATCCAGAAGTAAATTGAACTTCTAATCCACAAACCATCTCATCAAATAACTATTTTGTTTAAACTAACCTAATCGGACTACTATACAGTATACACAACGAATAGATTTTACAGATTTGTAGAATACGATTCATTAGATTTTCATCCATTTTTATATATTAAAATAAATTGATACCTTTTTAGAAATATATTAAACAAAATACTTCGGAGAAATATAAATTCGGTTATGCACAAACAATTATTCGAAGATTCCATAAAAGAAGTGTTATTAGAACTGCGTAAAGCATTTAACCCAACATAATCTCACCTTTACGTAATCCCATAATAATCATACCTTTGCACCTCTTCTTCTTTCATTAGACTCTGACCTATTGATGACATACAAAGGTGAGATTATTTATATAAGAAAAAAAATGGTGAGATTTTTTTTATTATTTATATAAGATTTTCAAAGAATGAGTAAGATGAGGTGCAAAAGTGGGATTATTCTGGGATTACGTAAAGGTGGGATTATTATGAGAAGACAGGTGAAAGGTGAGATTATTCTTATCAATTTTTCCTATTACATATTAAACCTGATGAATTTAGAAATAGTCATTTCTAAGTCAAATGTGAACCGGTGCGCGAATTTTGTTACTGGGTAATAGAAGTTGTTATACCCAAGAAACATGGTCTTTATGGATTCTTAATTTTTTCCTACTTTCAAGCTTAATAAACGAAAATGTATGCTTGTTTACAGATTTGTCAAGACGTTTCTGAAAAAAATAATACAAACTACAAAATGGACATTCACTTCATCCCATCTATTTGAACTGAAATACATTAGAATTTGTAATTACTAATTATGTCTGACGTCTCGATGAAAAATATTTTCGAAGAGAAACATATCATGGATTCATAGTTATTGACTTATTCTTTTTTGTCAATTTCAGAACTATTCTCTGTTTTGCATCTTTTTGATAGTTTATTTTCCCTTGTGGTTTAAAGACTATGATTCAAGTATGTTTGACATTGTACCCAAATTTAACTTTCACATGGTAGCATCATTTTTTGTCAATAATCTCCGAAAGTTAACAGATATGGAGATTTTTAAAAAGTTTTTGATTAAAAGTAACATCCGTTCTAAATTGAAAAAGTAATTTAATTTATGGTCAGGTAAAAAAAAATCTTTAAATAACTACAATCCTTGTTATTGTTTTTGTTCAACAAAGCAACGGGAAAAAGTAGTTTGATTTTAAAATCAAAGCCTTACAATTAATCAGGAAGATAAAACACAATTAGATAATGATGTCTAATAATAATACAAATAGGTCTGTAGGTCTCACAATCCTGAGGTCGAGAATTCGAGCCTCTCTCACCCCACCAAAAAAAAATACAAATAGAAAGTCATACCTCTACCGTGAACAACAAAAACATTACGCTAGTTAACTACTTAACTATCATACGTCACATCTAAATGGAAACTTTTTTAAAAAATACTTCGTACTACGTACGTAGGATTCATTTTTCAGCCCCAATCTGCCACCTGAAACAAAAGCTCACAATAGAGATAGATGTAGTTGTTCATAAAAATACACATGATTTAATAACAAACTCTGTTGAGATAAAACTAATTTTTAATTCATCAACAATACACACACATACATTGACCATTGTTACGTTCACACATTCACAACACATGCCTTTCCTTTCCATGCATTCATAAACTCTCTGAGATTCATTACCCACACATTTACATATGTTGCCATAATATTTTTGCTATTTACGGGTGTGAAACCTAAAAAGTCGGACAAGAAAGAGAGAGAAGAAGTAGAATGATTGATCATTTTGGTTGTATTGGATGAATGAAGATGAATGAGGCATTGCATCGGCATTGCATTTATATAGCCACTAATAGAATTTAAGCATTCAATGACCAAATCTTTGTCTTTTATTTTATACGTACTGAAGGAGATTTCCCCACCAGGTTGAACCAATAGGACAATAGTATTTCAACCAAATCCTACCCACAATCAATTTGAGTCATGCAAACAAACATAACTTTTTTAGTGAACGGTACCACCCACCATGTTAACCAATAGAAACATACGCAGTTTTTAGTGAACTGTTTTCACCGTTTTGTTGGCCAATAAAAACTGGACAACTTTGATCTCACCAAGTTGAGCAACTATTAAATTCTCGGGCCTTCAAAAATCCATACACAATTTTTTTTTGCAATTATTTTTTTTGAAAAAGTGAACTAAACCATGATGTTGACACTTCTTGAAGGGAACCCTATTCATCAAAAATATTTTGCTTTTATATTAGAATAGATTATTAAACCTAATATTTTTTTTACAAAAATTGAACCATAATAAAAAAATTATAACAATTTAAAGAGAAAAATGAGATTTCCACATGCATGGCTGCGATTGAAGTAGGGAGGGGGTGATGTTTATTCGTCTTCTCATGTTTTGACTTCATTCAACTGTTAGACTCATATACTATGGTCCACGTATGAATTATGATTTACTCTCTAAATGTTCCATCCATATGTTCTATAGTTCCTTTAAATTGCTCAACCACCTTAGGGATGGGGTGTCATCCTTTTTTTTTAAATTGCTCAACCATTGTCCACATTAAAGAGACAATGAGAAGATGAAAAGATCTTTTACATGGGAAGAGAATTGAGATTTCCTGAGAAAAAAGGTTAATGTAGATCTTTCCCAGATTGAGCTGAGAAGATGGTTGAGCTGACACCAGTTCAGGCCTTTTTTCGATTTTTTTTGTTTTTCCTGGGTTGGGCTGTGTGTTTGGGGTGGGGGTGGGGGTCGGAGGTTAATAGAAAAGCAAAAAAAATGAAGAAGCCCGGGGACCAGACCGGCCCGGTGGCTACCCGGGGCGGTTTCGGGCCCAAAGCCTAACCTAAAAAAGCCGCCCGGGACCGGTCCATGCCTACATTTGGCCTCAGGATTTTGACATTCATTTAAATACAATGGAGTGGATTGTCGATTGATGTCCTAAGGTCGAAAGGTTGGAGTGCAAATAGAATGGTAAGTTGGTAACATCTATGGATGTTCAAAATCTTCCCCTTCAAGTTTTATTTTTTAGTTTTTTGGTAATAGGGAAACCCAACCAGGTAAGTCACACTAAGCAAGTTCGGCCGAGGTGTTGGTAGGGGAATTGAAGTCGTGACCTCTAGGTCACTAGCTCACCTAGTCCATCAACTCGGCCACCATTACGGGTTTCAATTTTTATTTTTTTACTCAAAGAGATCTTATAGGCTCATTTTTATGCCATTTTAAAAAAATCTATTAAATCGTAAACGGAAAAGGGTAGTTTGATAATACTTACGCTTTTTAGCCCATTTTGATACATTTTCTCGACAACGATGGATCATGGATGGAAGAGCAACATTCAATAGGCCTAAACTCTAAACTTCTAGAGAAACAAGGCAAAATTTCAACATCTGACTTATTCCCTTGTGGTATCCTTTCTGGTATCTACATTGCTTCAAGCACCTTTCTGGGTGCCGTTGTCCAAACCAGCCTCCTCGTCTAATGGTTTACTCTGTTCAGCAACTTCAGCCTGTTTATCACCCCTGAAATAAAAGTTTGCAGATTGTTTTTCCTATTAGTGTTGCTCCAGAATCTCCAAGAATTAGTATTAGTATAACAATTAACAGAATTGCATAGGTAGAGCTTTAGAGGCATGCAGTTTAGCTTCTTTTTTCCTTTTAATGGAGAGGATGAATTTCATAAACCTCTTCAGATCCTTTTTGTCAAAAGGTTCAATTTGCTTTCAGTTACATATCCCCACATATCTGGTACTAAGGTATACTAATTAACCCCCTCAAGGGGGGTTAATTATAATATAGCATCTCTCTTTTCAGTTTTACTCGCTCCCGTAGATTTTTTATGGAAATTAAGAGTAAAGTTGATGTAAATATAGTAAGGGGTGTTTGGATCTGATTCTTAAAACTGTTTCTGTTACTTCAGGGAGTAGAAGCAGAATTTGGAGTGTTTGGGTAAAGGTGCAGTGGTTCGGATGCTCTAATTTACTCCTAGAATCAGTTTTTTTAGAAGTTGGGGGAGACCAGCTTCTGAAAACAGATTCTGATTCTGTTTTAAAAAAGAAGCAGAAGCGAAATCAGTTCCAAACACCCCCTAAATAGTGTATTAAACGTTAGGGTATAAAAAGTGGGAGAGAAGTTGAGAATAGAAGATGAAAAAGGTTATCATAGTCTTTTATGAATGAAAAAATAGGAAAAGTTCCCAAAAATGAAAAGTAGAGCAAGTCATAATAAACTTCCATTAAAGAAATTTTGAGTGTATAAAGTAAACGGAGGTAGTATAGTCTAATGGGGCCCATTAAATGGGCTCCCCAGTTGTACCAATCATCTCACATTCTCACACTAAAAGCACTACACTAGGGTTAGCCGGTTAGGCCGTTGGGGTATCATGAGGACTTGAGAAATTATCATTTCAATACCCAAAAAGTACTATGATTGTGTTGGGTTTATCACTCAACAGTTCTTTGAAGCAAAGTCCATATTTTACCCTCAGCCCCATAACTCCCTCAGAAGAAGAAACAGTACTGATCAACAAGGTAATATTGCATACCCAGAATAGACAATGAGCCCAACAGCAACAGCAGCAAAAGCTACAAAGTACATCCAATCAACCTAGAGAAACATACAGTTTTCAGCATACTAATATTTTTTGAAGCAGCTCATTAACTTCAACAGTTTTATATAATTCATTTCCAACATTTACCCATTATATACACCAGAATATTAAACAAACCTTCTCATGATATGCAAAAATGCGAATACAAACAGCCCACATGTCTGATGTTAGCAAGGACAGGTTCAGCATTGTTGAGCCACTAATCTGCACATGATGAATTTTTGGGATAGTCATTCTATCCGTATCTACGAGAATTCTTTCAGAAATCATAATTCTATTTTAATTTACAAAACAAATATTTGCAATATCACCATGTGTTACTCTCATGGTTTGCAATATATATATATATATATATATATATATATATATATATATATATATATATATATATATATACTAAAAAGGGCAGGTTGCAAAAAAGGGAAACAAGACTAATAGAAGAAAACTATAGAGACCACAAGAAATGTCTTATACATATATTTTTATAGTTTATACATATTTCTACATGAATCATGGATCGATTCATGTTAGCCGACCCCAAAACCTGGATGCTATTGTTGTATGCATATTTGTACATGTATATACACTACGAAATGATTGATGGGGTCGAGCCCCCCTCCAGCCCCTTTGTGAATACCCACTGACAATACAAGCAATAAAAAATGTAGCTACAGTTAAACTAGACTGCCTCCATTGATATCAGTGGACTTGTTAACTAATGCATTTTGAGAAAGAAGCTCAGTGTGTAGCTTTAGGATTCAAATATGAATAGTAAGCTAAGAATTAATTAGTTTTTTTAATTGTACGGGTCAGAGAAACACCGGGCATACCTTGAGTAAGATGGGAACACCTGAGTAAAAGAAAAACATTGCCAGAGAAAATCCAATAAAAGGAAGTGTCTGAAATAAGATATTAAAAAGAACATCAATGAACAGAAATAAAGAAAACTTAGTAAAGGCAATATGTAACAATAATGATGCAAATATTATTACAAAACAGAATCCGAATTTAATAATCAGCAGGATGTTAACACACTTGTGGGAATTAGGTGTCTATATAATCATATTTCTTATTTAACTGGTAATTCAGATGTTTGTATTAGTTTAGTACTTTACTTGCTGCAGCAGTTATATTTTATTGGGCTTTGGATGCTCTCCTTATATTAGGAAGTTTCTCTAAGAAAGTGATGGATCTCAACAAACCGATCCCTAGGAAGTTAGGGATCACAATATAATACATGTTCTTCATTAAATAGCCTGAGATTTTTCTAGGTCCACCACATCTGGTTCTGTTGCCGATATCATGGGCAATTTTCTTTCACTTAGACCTGAATATAATGCTCTATCTGATGTAATAGCAGAACTCAAACAGATGACAGATTTCTTAGGAAATAATTCTCCACCTGAACTTCATTCTCTGTGCACAGTCCACAACACAAGACCTACAGGACTGTTCCACAATTGTGTCCATGTGACACTCTGTAGTTCATTATCGGCTGGCAGCATCAACTATCCAATACACAAAACCTTAGTCTTCTACAAACCAGCAAACCACAGCCATCCCATCTCCTCATGGCTCACACCAAACTAGACTTTCCCTCTTTTGATAATAGAGGAGTAATTCGCATCAAGTTATGTCACTTAATTGGGACATACAAGTACTTTGGTCAAACCACACTAACAGATTAGATCGTTCAACCGAAAGTCTTATTGATCTTCGTTCTCCCTTTAATTTTCCAGAACTGAGATTCTAACACTCCCCTCAAGTGGACAATGTGCCATTTTAAATCTAAGTGATTGGTCACTTTCAAAATGGATTCTCTACTTCCGTGAAACTAAAATTCAAAAATGCAACGACAACACTTAAAGTGCCAAGTCTGTTGGATTGCAGACAGAGATCAAGCAGTGAAATCAAAACTCGAATGAAGGCTCTGATGCTCATATATTCATATTATATACGATATTGCATTACAGAATATTTACAATAATTCCAGATTAATGAGGAAGTTTGAACTTGGTGATGCCAGATAGCACCAGAAAAAATTATCGCTCTTCTATAGGTATTCACACGCACACACATGTTGTGTGCTAGCGCTCTGTTTCCTCTCACAGTCAAATTGCATGTGCATGTGTGTGTATTTTATATAAATGGTGGCTACACTACTCCCTCAAAATAAAGAAGAGGAAAGGGGGTTTTCTAGCTTGAAGTTCTTCAGTAATTTCGGGTTAGCTAACTAATGTCATATTTCGAAATTAATAATTTGTCTCACTTAGGGGAGTGGCCCTGAAGGTTTTCACAACGTTGGTGGTGGGAAGAAAAGTCCTATTTCAGCCCCACAACCATAAGCAGTATCTAGTAATGCATTATGGCTACCTAAGTTGTATAAATGTCTATTTATCCGACATAACCTATTTAATGATATATAGTAAATTTAATACTCTTTTGGGAAATCATATCTTGATTGAAACAAAGTTGGGTATGTCTCATCCTTGTTCCTCCCAATCCGTGTTTCTAAACTCCCAAGCAAGATTAATCGTAAACAAGTGACACTTCATTTAGTTATGGTCATGTTAATGCTCTTAGATAAAGATTCACTGATCAAGATGGAATTTTTACCAAGGTTAACAAGACTACTCTAGTACTCTGGGTGTCTACAGAAGAAGAGTTTGTGCCTTTGAGAGGATGCGTGTTTTTGAATGGGAGGGGTTACACAAAATTTGTTTCCAATGTAGACAATATGGCGAAATACAATTAAGTTAATCAACACAGTTTGGATCTATTTGAGTTTTATATCAAGAAGAAACTTATTGATCAAAGTAAGCCTTAGAAAAGAATGCAGAGTTCATCATAGCATCCAGAATAAAAGATCCATATAGTGACCTAGACACCTCCACCTTCTACGCCATTTAGAATTTCAAACAAACAAGGGTATTGGTAAAGTTGGTACAGATAATGCTATAATAATCCCAATTGGGTCAAAATGTCAAATAATATGGCATGTGTTTTCATAAATTGTTTTTGCATGTGGAGGGATGTACACTTCTATGATCAAGTGAGCATGAGTGCATGACATGGACAAGTAAGGGATGGCCAAGGACTAACCGATCCTGCTGTCCAATGAATAGATTTCAATTCACTGCGCTCAAGTATGCCTCTGTAGGATCAGTTAAGAATAGCTCGTGCAATATGTAATCAAATAGGAAACAAAATTAATTCCAAAAAATTGGTCGAGTTAAATTCAACATGAAAATTATATGTTCATTAAACCAAGCCAAAAAGATACATTTGGCATGCACTGACAATGGAACCAAAGAGACCCAAAAATGCCATGAGTTCAACCATATCAGCACTTCTAACAAAAAATTCCTGCATTGATGATTTAACAAGAAAGTACGTATAAGTGAATGACTGGATAGCAGGCTAAAAGAAGGTCCCGAGAAGAGAGTGAAAAAAATGAAACTAGCTGTTAGGAGAGGACAAAAAAATGAGGTATTCTTTCAATTATAATAATTGAAACTTTAGATGGGTGTTCTCCATAATTGACTGGTTGATATTTGTAAAGAGTATGACATAAAATGTAGAGGGTTTAATAAATAATTTTACTTTATGAAAGGTTACTTTTATGAGCTCGAGCAACCGCTCCCTTTTTCACATCTCACTAGTAATAAATGAAACATTCCATTACCAAAAATATACTCCCTCCGTCCCAGTTTACCTGTCTTACTTTCCTTTTTGGGTTGTCCCAAAATAAGTGTCCACTTTCCCTCTTTGGAAAGAAATATGTGGTTCACAACATTTCACTTTACTATGACCAAATCTCAACCACAACTTTTACCTTTTCAACCACTTTATTAAAAATTGTGCCAAAACCAAAGAAGACACATAAAATGGGACGGAGGTAGTAGTATTTTAGTTCAAAAAGTGAGCAAGTTAATCTACAAGTGCCATTATGAATATGCTCTATGTTTTCTTACCTCACTGACATTACTCACAGCATACAATGTGGCTCCAGCAAGTATAAGTAAATCTCCCTTGAGAGGGTTGCTCCCACCTATATCCAACAGAGGGAACACATTTCAAACACTTTCTCGTAATACAACGAAGCTTTGAGAAGTGAGAACTCATGTAATAATACGGACAAGATTTTAAATTATACAGAAAAAAGCCAAATGAGTTTACTAGGTATATAAAGAAGAATATTAATTCCCCTGGAAACATTATTGAAGTTGAGACAGAATATTTAAAGCAGTTGATTCAAGGGATATCGATATAGTTATACGTGGAGAATACCAACAGGAGCCAAAAGAAACTAACTGTTTCGGGCATGAAAGTGAGCACAAGCACATTAACATTGACTCATACTTCTGAAATTACTTACTTGATCGATCCGCTGCATGTACATCTGAGAAGATGACCAGTACAAGACCAGCAACGCAAACAAAAACACCAATGAACTTTCCGATTTTGTATTTTGTCTTCAAGAAAATCCAGGTGAAAAGCATAACACATGGAATTGCCCAACAATCCAGTAGCATGACACTCGTTAAGGATGTGTATTGATAAGATTTCACCACTGTAAATCAATGCATAAGGTTACGTAACTGGAGGAGTACCAACATAAAACCAAAGTTGGACAGATCGACTTGAGAGCAATGAAGACTGAAGATCTTTCATCAAAGGATTAAATGCTAGTAATATGTTCTTCAGTTTTTACACATTAGTAATAAAAAAAGTATATAGAGCAGTTCTTCAGTTCTTAAAGCAAATGTTAATATTACTGAGCGAGGAAGTGGTCCAGCTCAGCTAGTCGCCGACTCACTCTCCCTTACGGGAGGTCCCGGGTTCAATTCTCAATGGAGTGAGATTGATCCCAGTTTACCCCAGGCCTCCCAAACCCCCTCTCCCTAACGCTCCCTGGGGTAAAAAAAAGAAAGAAAGAAAGAAAACGTTAATATTACTAAGCACTTCCATAGAATATTTAGTAATAAAAAACAAACACATATTCAGAAACTTTATAATGAGAATAAAATTTGTGATAAATTCGATTAGACTTAAAATGTAAGGCTTATAAAGCGCATGCAACACAAATTCAATGTTTTTAAATAAAAAAAGGACGTCATGAATTTAGTTACCGAGAAAATTAGCCTCTACATCAACCAACCCAAGAATAACATAATAATACCACTTTGCCTGCAGGGAAATAGTTAACAATGAATAACATAAGCATACAGCCTTAAAATGAAAACTAAAAAATCTGAGGTGTAAAAACAAACCTGTTAAGCGTGACTGCGAGATGAATAAGTTTTACATTACTAATATAATTTAATATTAAGACATAAAAAGTATATCAAATTATCCATTTGTCAAAGTTGAAAACATGAAAATCGGCCAAATTCAAAAAGGAATAAATGAAGTTAAAGTTTATAAATAGGGGTATAAATATGAGTAGAGTAAGAATTATCTCCATGTTCTCATATAAAAGCCTTATTTCCTCTTCCTCGGCTAGCATTAAGCCACCAATTGCAGTTTCTTCCAATTGCCAACATACCCCTTTGACTATTAATATATTTAATTGACTATTAGTAACAACTATAAAATTCATATTTTGAAATTTTACATCAAGATATATTTAACAATATTTTTCACACTATTTTTTTAAAATACATTTAATGCATTACTTAATATGCGGTCATAGTAGAATATGTGAATAGTGTAAAAGTCAAATTGTTGCAATTATTAAAGAACGGAGGTAGTATATATTATTCATTATTCAACTCCGGTCGTCTTTCGTAACGTATTTCTTAATCAAGTATATGCTTTTAAATATTTTATAGAATACAGAGTAGAACATTTAAAAAATTTCAGATACAAAATTTTATTTACTAATACAAACTGAAAGTCCGAAATACTAGATAAAATTATAATTAAATTATAAAAAGTCATGGTCAATTATTTTATAATTAAATCATATTATGTCTGTCCCATTAGGCATTGCCAACTTTGTGTTGAATGTGAAACAACAAAAGAAAAAACGGTGTGATTGAGTTTTGTGAAGAGGAGAGAGAAATAAATTGAACAACAAATTCATTACTTTTAAAGGAAAGTGGTAAAACTTTTGGGACAAACAAAAAAATAAAGTTTTCAAAGTCCAATGGGACGGAGGGTGTATAAGAATTAGACACATGAAACATAATACTCTTTCTACCCCATTTTAATCTAATTTTCTTCTCTGTCAACCCCAAGTATTCTTGTTTTATCCTCTTAAAGAAATACCTGTGGGGTTGAGATTGGTCTTTTCCTTTCTAAATAAATCCCAGCTACATTATTACACACTTTAATTTTGCAGCTCCATGCAAAGTCAAAGTGGGAAGTGGGAAGATTAAATAGGGGTGGGGAGTAATGTGTACTGTATCACGTTTTTTCTTTCCATGTACTAGTAATATTTTTCTATTTTTGCATTATACGATGTATCTGTTTATTCTTTTTATAATGTTTTTGTCTTTCTGATGAACTGGAATAGTGAAAAGCAAGTTTCTTCTTTCAATTGTTATTTAAAAATCCAGTCACAGTTTTAGTAACACTAAAACTTCAAAAAAAGGAGGTAAGGACAGACCTTGAGCGGCTTCTTTCGGTAAATCATGATTCCTCCATAGAATAAGGCCAATAGCACATAATTTAGAAAAGACTGAGAAGTGGGGGCATTAATTCCTGCGAAAAACGTCAAGATGAAAGGCAGCTTAATACTACTACTCCTCTATTGCCACTGCTATAAACCCAGAATCAGAACATAATTCAGAGGGTAAAACACTAAAACCTTTTCTGGCGAGGTCTGAGGATAGGAAGCCGGTAGAAGTGACTAGAAGAGACAGGAACTGTCCCAAGCCCAGACTCAGCAATGTCTTCTTGTTCCAGAATTCCTTCAAGGAATTGCCCATTTCTCCGCACTCCCACGTACTACTGGCAATACAGGAAAACTCGAAATTAACTCATTATTAATGCATGATTAACTACCCGAATTAAAGAGAAAAAATCAAAGGAAAGTTTTGAGCGAATCAATCGTACTCGGAATTGCAGCGGAATTGAGGTTTGACGGAATAAAAATGTTCCTTGTCGATGGGAGGGAGAAAAAGAGCCAACTAGCGCCGGCTGGCGGCTGCAACGAATGTCGGCAGATTCTCCTTTCTAGCTTTTTGAGGCAATATATGCGGAGCAGAAGAGTTCTAATTTACTAAAAACTCCACCAAATTTGAAATTCTGATTGAATAACAATTAACAACTCGGCCGGAATTTATGGAAATGGGCAGCTTTCATGGCAGCACAATCGTCTCGCTATTGATAGAGAACACAGCATGACTGATACCTTTCTACGTGCCAATTAGAAGTCAATAAGGTCAACAACATGCGTAGATACTCCCTTGTTCACATTAATTAGTGCAACTCATAAATACACAAATACTCCTTTCATCCCATAATTTTTTTTTAAATACTTTTCATTTACTTTTTTTTAGATGTCGAAAAGGATTATGGGATAAAATTCATTTACGTTATTCTTATTCAGAGCATGTTAGTAATACCGTACTCTCGATTGTATGAATGATTTTGTTGAAATTTATCAAATTCTGACTGAAATGATAGAATTATCTGATTCTGCTGATTTAAGAAAATACTACATTTAAAACATAATTTATTAATAACATGAAGAAAAAGTATATGAAAAACAACTAAAATGGTCTTCTATATTAACTTCAGTCAATAGAGATAGGGAATTAACTTCAACCTTACGTGTATTGCCAAAGAAAATGGTTGATCTGATAAGCGAATAACATCATCACCAAACGAGCTCTCAACCACTTACTTAAACTCGGATCTAAGTCAAACCGAAAATAATTTTATGGGATGGAGAGACTAGATAACTAATAATAGGTATATAACTACAATGCTTTAAGGATGAGAGAATATATAAATATAAGGATGAGAAAATAATTTTATGGGATGGAGAGACTAGATAACTAATAATAGGTATATAACTACAATGCTTTAAGGATGAGTGAATATAACTAGATAACTACAATGCTTTATGGGATGGAGAGACTAGATAACTAAATATGCTTTAATGTCTAGCATAGTCTTGATTTTTCGTGGTGCTCCTTGGCGGCTTTAAATTCAAGGTTTTCAGTTTTGGCAGGTACTAATCAATCGTTTGATCGATCCACAATTGCCTGATCAATCGACAGGAGCAGGGCGACAAGGATGACAATGACCATACAACGTTAAGTGCAAGGAAAATTCGCTATGTACACAGCAGTCTACACAGCACAAAAAGCCCTCACCCCCTTCTTTTCCACCCTATTAACCCCTCCCCTCCTTCCTTTCTTTTCCTTTTTTCCTCTCCTTCCCTGCACCCAACTTCCTTCTCCCTCTTCCTCTCTTCTTTTTCTTTTCTCTCCCTCCCTGCGCCCAACATTCTCCAGCCTCTTTTCTTCTCCCTCGTTATCTTCATTTCTTTCCTCTTCCTATTTCCCTCTTTTCTTTTTCTTTCCTCTCTTTATCTCCCTTTCTCCATCTTTTTTCTTCTCTTTTCCTGTTTTCTTCATTTCAAAAGCTCTCACTTTTTTTGCAGATCTAAATCTGCTCAGAAAAATAGGAGAAGTCACAACTTGAATCTACTTTGCTCTCTCAAATATTATTCATGAGATAACACTTTATTCATATTTTTTGTGCATTTAGGGTATATATGTTCCCTTTTTAATTTTGTATATCACATATGTTGTTATGACGTTGAATACTAGTACTTATTACACTATTATACTAAAGAGATTTGTGATGTTTATCATTTAAATTTTTGTCTATATCGCAGACAAAATATAAAGAATTGTCTGTTAAATCGATTTTCACAGACAAAATATAAAGATTTATTTGTATCGCAGACATTTTAGATTGTAATTTTTCATAAAGTGTCTGTGATACAGACATGTTTTTTTATTTTTGTCTGTGTGAAAATCGATTTTCTTCATAAATCACCACTCAATTTGCCTGTGTGGACGGTCAAATTGTCTGTGTACAGACAATTATGTGAGTGTATCTTGTAAAGTACCAATAGTTTGTGTGTGTCTTCTCTATGACTTCTTTATTATAAAGTGTCTGTGATACAAACAATTTTTTTTAATTTTTGTCTGTGTGAAAATCGATTTTCTTCATAAATCGCCACTCAATTTGCCCGTGTAGCCGGTCAAATTGTCTATGTACACACAATTATGTGAGTGCATCTTGTAAAGTACCAGTAGCTTGTGTATGTCTTCTCTATGACTTCTTTATTGTAAAGTGTTTGTGATACAGACAATTTTTTTTATTTTTGTCTGTGTGAAAATCGATTTTCTTCATAAATCGCCACTCAATTTGCCTGTGTAGCTGGTCAAATTGTCTTTGTGCATACCAATAGCTTGTGTATGTCTTCTCTATGACTTCTTTATTAATGGGGTTTGAATATTACGTAGTACTTGTTTACTGTCAAGTTAATGTATCATTTAAATTAAATATATTTTAACTAACAGAAGCTTTAACCATGTGACTGCTTCAGGGACATCTTCTACCTCTTCATGACCAATACTAGTATCTTGAAAGCCTGTGATTGAAAACTATGTCTCTTTTTCAATCGGGAGAAAGACAGGTGATATTTCAAATCGTGGCATGAAATGGATTCAGAAGGTCAAAATGAGAGATTTAAAGCAAATGATAATTACACACTTCATTTTTGTAATTAGTTATGTTGCACAGTTAATTATCGATCTTGTATTAAAATGATAGTGTATTTAAACTTTCTTTTTTGGTCACAACCAAATATAGTTTGTTTCTAAGTGTATTTGTAAAGATAAGTGTTAACCAATTGTTTGTATACAGATAATTTTTAAACAAGCTTGTTTTGTCGGTGTGTAGACAATTTCAATAAAGTTTGTGTTTGTGTACAAACAATAGTTGTTTGTTTATATTGTGTGTGCATAATTGTTCAAACCATAATTGTTTGTATAAATATTCTTTTTACCTTAATAGGTATATGTTGAAATAAGTTATTTGTGTTAGCGTTCAAACTATTGTTTTATATTTTTTTAAATGAATACAAAAAAATTGTCTTAGCCTCAGACAATTTTTTGATAAGTGTCACAAATGATAGGCTTTAAGAAACAAATAAAGTGTGTGCACAAAAATATATGCATTGTTATGGTAAATTTCATCACAACTATTGTCTGGGCACAGACAATATTTTTTTTCATCTTTACTTCTTCCTTCAAACAAAAAATAGAAAGAAAAGTATCACAATAATCCACTACTGGAAAAATGAAAAAGCTAGGACCCTGAACATAAAAAAGCATTATTAAACCCCGAACACAATTTGTTAGAGATAATACTTGAAACAAAACTTGTAAGTGCAGTGTCTGTATTTGTTATAAAGACTCGTGAAGTTGTCTATCTGTCTGTAATTGATGGTTAATTATTTTTTATCTGTTTTGAGTTGTCTGTATTTGTTTTGACTGTATGTAATTTGTAATGTTTATTTTTGAGATGTAATTAGTATTACGAGACAGACATTAAGTGTACACATACAGACAATAAGTATACACATACATACATTACTTTATTATGAATTACTATTTTGGCATATGTTTCATTAAAAAGACAGACAATACGTATAACTAGTGTCACGCCCCAGACCGCAATCCAAGCGCGTGTACAACCGCCGCATAATCAAGTGACGTCACCCGCGAGTCAACCTCACTTGATTACACAAGGCGTTCGAGAAAATAATCCATCCATACTCAGTGGTAAACATACATAACAACATCACATTTAAACCAATGAATAGCGGAAATATTCAACGGTAAGTCATAAGCCACAACCGGCCAATATCATGGGCATGCAAGCCCCAAAAGAATAGTTTATGACAATAAAAATATCCATGAGCAATGTTTGGTAATTTGAAATAAAATGAGGAAGCACGAACCACGTCTTCCTTGATTGATGTCACCCGTAGAAAGGTGCAGGTAGCAAGCCCTAGCTTCAACCTGAAAATGGTGGGGCCCCCCGAAGGGGTCAGTACAAGTACCGAGCGAGTAGCAGGCTAAATATAGAATAACTAGCGTTTCAAGTATAAGACCCAAACATAGGATGATACATATACGTATAGTCCTTCCCCCAAGTTTGAAATACATATTAGTATACATACACTTGGAAATACCCGACCCGTAGGTCATTGTTTATTTGGGAAAATAATAGTAGTCAATATCCTTGACTTAAATCCCAACCCACCCATATACCTATGAGTGTATAGAACTCCTCCTTGGTCAAATAAATTATCATAAGGACACCGCCCGGTCCTAGATCATTAAATGTAATCTATGAGTTTTGAGGATACACGCCCGATCCTTGGGTACTCCACCCTATAATTGAGTTTTGAGGATAACCGCCCGATCCTTGGGTACTCCACCCTATATAACCGAGTTTTGAGGATAACCGCCCGATCCTTGGGTACTCCACCCTATATAGCCGAGTTTTGAGGATAACCGCCCGATCCTTGGGTACTCCACCCTATATAACCGAGTTTTGAGGATAACCGCCCGATCCTTGGGTACTCCACCCTATATAACCGAGTTTTGAGGATAACCGCCCGATCCTTGGGTACTCCACCCGACCTATGACTTACCACATATCACGCTAGATAGGGTCTATATCATATTTAGTCATTCATAACTAATTCAATACATAAAACTTATGTATCACATTCCATGCAAAGCCATGCAATTATGTAAATGTACAATTAATTAATATCGACCGGTATTAATTAATCCATTATCCACCGGTCAACGTGGTCGTTGACCGCCATTACCAACCTTGTACAAATCAACTTAATCATCACATAATTAAGTTAAAATATTCATTTGTGCTTCTAATACACTTCAAACAAATATGCATTTCATATAATTCTTCATATCATATTCCATGCATCAAAAATAAATTTCCTTCATACAAACTTAACCCTATTGGCTAATCACATGTTTAAATATCTTTTAAACATCATTATGAAATCATATAACATTTATTTAGGTAATCTCATAATTAACCCAAAAGTTATAAGATATTAAGCCGTCCACTCACCTTGAACTAGCGTTATGAAGTTCTACCCCTCTTGGTTGAACTCCGGTGAAACTCCGGCGACTTTCGGTCAACTCCGGCGACAACTCCGGCGACTTTACCAACTTTGTGAAATCACTTGAAATACCTTTCACAAGTTCCTAACAAGGTTTTATAATCATAAAACCCGTATTAATACAAATAACCTCAAAACGGTTATTTTCCGGTGAACCGGTCGTTTTGGCTTCTAAGTCCGTTCTTGGACATAGAATCACTTTCCAACCCATTAATCCATACTTATAACATGTAGAACCCTCTCAAGGATTCTTCACATGATATATATCTCATATGGTGGAAGAAAAATAAAGGAGTAGTTATAATAAGGTCATTACCTTAGTTATTTCACACTTTTAGCACTTTAGCTCCTTTTTGGGTGATTCTTCCTTGATGATTTTTCTTCAACAATGGAGGAAGGAGGCTGGGTGGTTTTTCTTGCTCTTCCTGGGTTCTCTTGGCCGAAAATGAGGGTGGGAGAGGGGTGAGGCTTACCCCTTTGTCTCATTGAACAAATGGGTGTGGATGGGGGGCCACCTCATTTTTGTTTGATGCCTTTTAGATCATGTCAACCTCTCCCTCCCATGCCTTCCTCTTCAAACAGCCGACCAAGCCCTCAATTTGAGTGGCAAAAATCGTGGGTTGGCCCCCACCCATGTGGGAGGTCAACCCTTTTTGCCCCGACGTGTACAATT